AGTCGTTATATTTGTGCCTTGTAGATTACTCAATTAAACGCTAAGTCAATATTAGATTAATGGGAGGATAAAGATGGAATGTGTGAATTAAAAGCATGGCTCTGATGTCTTTGCAGAGATTTGTAAGGATTATTTATGTCGGGACTTAACCTGTCTATAAATGAGCAAGAAGTTTTACAAATCATCTAGTAACTATTTAAGTTATCCCATCAGTAGTGAAAGCAAAATGTAAATGAAGATTGAAAAATTGTCATAAAAACCTAACTTGAGTACTTGCAGGGAATCAATGATATTACCTAAGTCAAGACTTAACTTGTCTATATGTGATCCATGATTATACAAAGCACTTTAACTTTGCTGGATGCATTCAATCATTCAATAAATATCAGAAGGATAAAACACTAAGCATAATTAAAGTGCACAAATATAACTTTCGAACAATAATTTATATGTCCATCACCTCTTCCTAAAGAGTGAATAAGAAACTAAGAAACTATTCACTCTTTATGATTTTGAGTAAGCTAGAAAAAGTGAGTGAATCTCATCCCTCAGTAGAGAAACTTAGAATTACAATTTAAAGATTACCAAAACGATGCGCTTATCTCCGACAAAGAATGAGTGAAACACTACCCACTCTTCAAAGCCACAAGAGAGTTAGAACGGTGAGAGAGGTTCACTTTTCTTAGTGAAGGAGAAAGCTTTACAATGGAAGCTAATGAACTACTATTAAAAGTAGAAAAAAAACTAGTTACTTTTGGAGGGATATTTCCACTTCCAAAAGATATGATCCCTTTGCTTCAAGATGGTAGGGTATTTATAGGAGTGGAAAGCACAAAAATCTAGAAATGAGGTCTTGTCCACCTAGCAGAGATGTTCGAACCCTAGCTGGGGCATTCAAACGCTACCCATGGCATTAAATGCTGAGGAGCCCCTTATCTAAATGTCGATGACTTTCAAGGGGGCGTTCCAACGCTAGGGGCAGGCATTCGAACGTTGCCCACAATTCTTGCTCTTTGTTTGATTTTATCAGTATTTGCTGTTGATTTTTGATGGACATTCGAACCCCTCCTCTGGTATTCAAATGCTGCCTACTTCTAGAAGCTTCCCTTTCACCATGAAAAAGACCATTTTGCCCTGCATTTCATGTCAGTGTTCCATTCTTTCATTTTTCTCAATTCCTTATTATTTATTTACAAATAAAATGCAAACAATATATAATTAACCCTTGCAAAACATATTAAAATGTAAAGATTCAGGGTTAGTCACACCTCGCAACCTAGATATTACTAGTCTATATTAATAATATAAAACTCTAAATCAATACACAAAAACCATTTTCGCAAGTGATTCGATTGCATTTAGCATATGTAATTAGCCGTTAAACCCCTAGGTTACCTCTAGTGAACAAGTGTTGTCTCGTAAATATTTTTAGTGAAGGTACCTACAAACTTTAATGGCTAGAACAAGATATTATACACATATTACACATAAAATTATAGCAGTATTCCATCATTTTATTTTAAATGTTTCCCCATTCATCCTAACCTAAGAATAACACACCCCACTTGTGAAACTATTCCCCCCATTTTTATGCAAAACATGTGGGTGTGTAATGTTTTACTATTCAAAAAATTAGGGAATAACACAACCCTGCTCACAGCTTATCAAAATTATCTTCGTTGTCAATCCTTTCTTGAAAATCACTCAGCAAATAACACACTCAGACTTTTGTAAATCAAAGCCAAATATTTCACATGAAAAAATCAATAAACGATTTTAGAAAAGAAATGGACTTTAGCATAATCTGATATTAACACTGAATCAAGTAATACTATCAACTACCCCCGTGCATGAGAGGAAACAAAATCACTCGTGCAAACACATTTTTGGAATAAAAAATGACTTTCTTAAGGTTGTATCGTGGCCAGGGGTAAGTGGTTAAAGAAACAATGGATGAGGATTTCAAAAGGACTATCTAATTTATGTTCTAGTCATACACATTTTGTCCCTTTATCCTTCATTTTTGATTTTGTAGAAACAAATTAACCCCTTTCATTTATCTTTTCTTCCTTTTCAACAATTGCAACTCGGCTTGCTTGATTTTTCTTTTGCTTTTCTCGTATTCTTTCCTTTTTCTTCTATTTAGCCCTTTTTTCTTTTCTTTTCCTTTCTTCATATAATCTTCTTTTAAGAGAGGATGTAAGAAAATTAGATGGCCATATATATATATTTTAGTGGCTTGGTCAAAAAGTGGCTTATTGATGAACACATAATATTGTATATTTAAAGGCTTCATTATATGCATTTTAACTCAACTTTTGCATTTAAGTACTTAGAGTTAGCCGAATTTATGAATAATGTTGAATTTTCGATATTGCAGGTAATTATAGTGTAAATCATGTATTTTGGAACCTTGCAACTAAGTATGGAGGAGTGGTGATAAGATGGATAAACTCAATGGGGATTTGGAGGCTTAAAGATGAAGAAACCAAGAAAAATGCAATTTGGAAGGTTTAGCCCACTAGTTTCCCAAAGTCTTGACACAATACCGCAGTTTTTCCCATTTTTGACCATGATCCACTTCGAATCTGAAGAGGTTCAAAACATAAAAGTTGTAGATCTTGATGTATTATGTATTGTGTCACAATTTCAGCTCAATCGAACTATTGGATCAAAAGTTATGACAATTCTACGAACAATGGTCTGGAGCAAGCAACCTACCAGTAGTTTTTACTCCAGTAGCCAAAACTACCGGTAGATTGCTAAAAACCTACCGGTAGGTTTTGCCCAGAATGCTTGCAAATCATCACTAACTTGCTTGGGGGTACCACCATTGACCCTCCCACTTGTCCCTTGACATATTCTTCATATATACATGCCTCCTACACCCCAAAGTCAGCAAAAGAGGAGGAAGGATGGGAGAGGAGGAGAGAGAAAGAGGGAGGCCAAGGGAGTTGCTGGGTAGGTTGCTCCTAGCCTGTCCAAGCCATCATCTCACCTCCCATTGATGGGAGGCCTGCACACACAGGTTAGGGGAGCCCTGTGGATGAAATTGCATCTTTCACACACCATATATTCAGCATTCACACTCATTTTGAAGGTGGCTACCTAAGCTTTAGGAGTAGTTCAATGAAGAAGATGATGAATAGTGTAATAGAAGCTTATGTTTTTGTATTTTCTTCACTCATTTCATTGCAGTAAGTTATAGCTCTCTTGTAATTTTTATTTCTTGCATTGTAATATCCTTTATTTAAAGTATATTTCAAGTTTAGTTACATGTTCTTCAATCCACCATTGTTGCCTCCAAGTTTTCTTCATTTCTTGCTTTAAAATGGGTATTTTATTTCTTTCTTTATAGTTCAAGTTTTCTTACTTTAAGTTAAGTTTCAATCTTCATTTCTTCATTATGTCTCTTTATATTATGCATTTGTTTTTTTTTTGCTTTCATGAGTAGCTAGATTTTAAGTTGGTTAATCCAAAGGAGACCTCCTCTTGGATTTTCCATTTCAACTCATTTTCTTTCCTCCTTTAGGTGTACGATGGTTCAATTTGACTGAGTTGAGAGTGGATACGGTTGTGAGTCTTTGATATTCCGTAGACCTAGTCACGGTTTATGCTTGGATCCTCACCATCTCGTTCCTAGCTTCCCACGAATCAATCGTTCATCTATGCACCATTGGAGGAAGGTTTCGAGCTGAGTTAGGATTCCCACTGGAATGACCCTTTTGGATTAGTCAACACTTGTTTTCTTGTATTTTCGTTAAAACAAAACTCACCAAAACCAACTACAAGATTTTACATTTTTTTCTTTTTTAACAAAATCACCCTCAATCGAATTCTCTTCCTTCCCTGAAAAGACGACCTTGGAATACTTTTCCAAGTAAAACACGACACTCAAAAGACTCATTGCACTTGGGGAGCACTTTTGTGTACACACACACATTTTTGTGCATTTACACATCACATTACCATTATTTCATTTTACCCCATCTCCTTGCCCTTTCTTTTGACATCACCCATAGGAGAGTGACACTCCCCTTCATCCATAAACTATACATGCTAAAAGGTGATGTTTAAAGGTTAGAAAACTACATTTTTCAAGCACTTATCAAAAAGAATTTTTTTATTTTCAAGCTCAACCATGACTGACTAAAGATATTTTTGCAAGAATGTATTGAATGCATAATTCTTATATGAAATTGCAAAGGGGATTGTTCATACATTACTCAATGAGTGCCAATCAAATCAAAATAATAAGATTATTCATGGATCAACGCTGAATTGAAATTCTTACTCGAGCAATTATTCAAAATCCTTCCAAAGAAGATAAGCTCAAAACTGCACCAGGGTTATACATATCCACTTATTCTTGTAAGCTTCCAAAGGATCATGTCATTCCCAAGGTTTTTTAAAATAAAAATTCATATTATGCACAAAATGGTAAGTTTTAAATAAAAAAGTAGGGATGATGCACAATTAAAACATGAAATTCCCTAATAGGATGTCAAAGGTTATACATTTTGGAAGACAGAATGCTAAAATACTTTCATAGTGACTTGCATATAATATTTTATCCTAACTCCAAAACTGATGTATTCAAAATGTAATTCAAACTAATTGACTGCAATATATCAAAAGAAGTTCTACTTAAAATGTAAAACACATAACTAAGCTGAAATTCAAAAACCAATGGAAATATAAAGCTAACCAAAAACAATATCCAAAGTACTAAAGTAGTGTGACAACTGAAATTAAACAGTCAAAAGAGAGAGAGAGATAGATAGTGATCCAAAAATGCCCAGCCAAGTTTAAGCTGATGAAGATGGTCCAGGGCGGTGCTCTCTCCACAAAAATCTTAGTATCTCCTGTAGAGTAGCCCTCATCTCTTGCTGAGAAATCCTTATCTCCTTCTAAGTAGTCTCGAACTCAATCATCCTTGTCTCTAAGCTCAAGAGAATATGCATGTTAGTCTTGTCATCGACTGAGATGTATGGTGGCTTCTATCTGGCAGATTGTTGCTGAAAAGCTACCTTCTCCTTATTTTGGTTGACTTGATCTTGTGCATCATTTTCAGCTTGTCTAATCTCATCATCACCAAACACATCACCCGATCTGTTTATTTCTTGTTCAGCTCCAAGCCCAGCTCCTTGGTTTGCCACATGTCCAGTACTCCTATGGAGTGTAGCCTTATCTAGTTAAGCTAATGCTTCCACAACCTTCCAGCTTGGGTCTATCACAACACCCTTTTGTTTACACAAATCCGTGACGAGGATCCCAAAAAGCAGAGTTGGCCTCTTTTTCTTTACAGCCATCATCATTTGATCAATAATAAGATTAGGCAAATAAATCGTATGCCCCTCACCAAAAGCATTTTAAAGCATAGCTCGTTCCTTATAAATTTGATTCTTTTGGCTTTGAGGCATTATATTGTTAACAACAATCAAATTTAGGATTTTGTATTTCTTAGTAAGATCACATTGTTTAATGGATTTACTCTCAGTTTCCCATATAAATTGAGGATTTCCAGTTAAAACCCTTCCTATCACATCGTGGTCAATTGGAGGATTAGAGGGTAACTTGCATCATTTATCCTAGGCATGGGCTAAATCATGTCAAAGATTGTTTAGGATTAACAGTAAACTCGTGACCTCTCACAAAAATCGTAAATTGCCTTGCTAAATCGGGAGATGCATTATTGTAAAATTCCTTGAAAATACACTCAACACCATCCCCAACTGGTTTCATGAATCTTTCCCACCCTCTATTTATCAATATTTCTCCAATTCCCAAATTTGCAAAATCCTCATACACAATGCCCCTTTCACAAACAATTGATTCAAGGAAAAAAAAAAGCAAATACCTTTCCCTTTACAAATGGTCTTGGAAAGTACCTACGTCAAATTGGTGATTGCCTCGACCCCCTTGCACTTGGGCTTCTTGTTGAGCTCACTTCCTTGGACTTTGAGCGATGTGCTTCCTCACCATTTGGAGAATCTGTGGGAAAATTAAAGATTTGGATCAGTGAAATTGTCTTAGAAACCTTGGGTAATGAGTTTTATGGCAAAATATTGAGTTTTAATCGATGGGTTATGAGTTTTTAAGGTGGGGAAGGGATTTTGGAGAGCTAGGGCTTCAAGTTTGAGGATTAAAATGCTGAAAATTGCGAAAACAGACTAGACGCTCTTTTTATATAAGCATGGTGGCGTTCAAATACTCAGCCAGCCTCCAAATCCTGCCCTTTCTGCCTTCAACATCAAAATGGGGTCTGCAAGGGGATGCCATTATTTTTCAAACAAATTTTTTTAAATTTTCTATTTTTGTCTTTTCTTTTAGCATATCAAACTTCATTTATTCATTATTATTATTATTATTATATATCCAAATATAGTATTTTGAAATATATGAGAAATATTATTAATTTATTTATTTTTTTAAATACACAAATCAGTACTGAAAAAGTGTGGCGTCTCAGGACAAGTCTCTATCCACGCTACAAATTCGTTGGCATATTAGGACATTCTTTACTTAACCCACATCTTATTCCAGTGGAAATGATAAAAATTGTGAAAAATTGAAAAAATATTTACATTTTTATAGCAGGTGGTTGGGACCATTGATCTTCATTCCCTACAACATGTTCTTACCTTAACTTGTCATGTCAAAGAAAAATATTTAATCTGATTCTTGCCCTATCTCCATTATGTTTGAAGAATCAATGACCCTACCATCTTCTTGCCGCACATAATGTGTAAGAACATGACTGGTATTGTGAAGACCCTGGTCCATTACCGGACCCCTGTCTTCCAAGGGCAATCCTCCCATTACCGGGATATACCGCCCTCCACCAAAGGATTTCGGCTAACCTGCGGGACAAACCCCCACAGTAGCCTTTACCTCTGTCCCACATCGGGGAAAGAGTCGTCTCCCCACCCCCATATAAGCCGAAGCACCATATAAGTGGGACAGAGGTAAAGGCTACTGTGGGGGTTTGTCCCGCAGGTTAGCCGAAATCCTTTGGTGGAGGGCGTTATATCCCGGTAATGGGAGGATTGCCCTTGGAAGACAGGGGTCCGGTAATGGACCAGGGTCTTCACAGGTATAGTATGGCATGTCAAGAAAATCCTTACTCTGCCCATGCACTATCCAGTCTAAACAATCGAGTATGTGACTAGAAATTAGTTCAAAACACTGATTATATTTTCTCATATCAAAGAGCCTACCACATCAATTGCATGCACCAAGTCATTTTGCTAGGCAACGTTTGGCATAAGTGCTTCTTCCACATAATGGTTTCGCTTGCTCTTCTCGGATTTCAATTTTTTTTACCAGTCTTGGTTATTTCATTATTATAGAATGCACATCAGATGGAAATTGTTGTAAAACACCTAAACTAAACCAAAAAATTTTAACATCCATGGTTAATATAGGCTTAAGACACTATTTGGTTCTTTAACGTCAGCAAGTCATGAAGACGATTAAAGTTGCCTTTTAAAAAAATTATTTTTTAGACATATGAAAATTTTTAAAATGTATATCTATGGTAAAATCTACAACATAATATCTATACAAAAAGATCAATACTTCTCACCCTCAACTTAAACTCAACCTTGTTCTCGATATTTCGAATTTACCAATATGCGCAAAGTGAATTTAGGGTTGAAAGAAAGAGATATGTACATCTGTCGAAGTCCTACAAACAAAATACAAAATTTTATTACATTAATTAGCTTTACAAAAACCAGAGTTTTGATCAACATCAGGACCTCAATGCGTAAATGCATAAACAAGAATGAAACCCATGAGTAAATAGAGAATTAAAATACAACATATAAAACAAAGGATGGTATCCACTGAGTGTGAAGTCATTGAGATTGCAGAGGATGAACTTCAAGGGTAGAGAGGGAGAAGAGGAGTGATGGAGTTTTTAGAGAGAGTAAAGTGTGAAAAGTGATGTGCATTTAGGGTTTTGATGCTTTTATAGCGACACTATTCAGGTGGGTCGGGTTTTGATATGAATATTCACATAACCCGAATCGACTCCATGTCTAAACCCAAAAAATTTTGACAAATTCATTTAAGATATTCTAGATCCATTAGAACAAAGGATTCCATATTCTTAACAAACCCTTCATAAAATGATTTTAGACTTTAGCCATTAATAATAAAAATATTACCATTTGAAGGATTCTCTACCTCCACTGCTCCATGTCCAAACACTTGCCTTACAATATAAGGCTCAGTCCACCTTGACCTCAACTTATCAAAAAGCAAACGGAGTCTTGAATTGTACAGGAGAACTTTCTGGGAAGGGACAAACAATGTTTCTGTCATAAAAAATTTTCATCAGTTCTTTTGCAATTTTTGCATTCTCATAAGCCTCATTCGTTAACTTTTCCAAATTACTAATCTGAATTTTTCTTGATATTAATGTCTTGTCCAAGTCAAAGTTCATGGTCTTAATAGCCCAATATGCTTTGTGTTCTAATTTAATAGTCAAGTGACAAGACTTTCCATAAACTAGCCGATAGGGAGACATTTCCAAATTTATTTTAAAGGCATTGCGATATGCCCAAAGCTCATCAATTAGTCATAATGACCAATCTTTGGGTCCGAGTTTACTGTCTTTTTCAAAATCATTTTAATCTCCTGATTAGTCAATTCAACCTGTCCACTAGTCTATGAATGATAAGGGGTTGCAACCTTATGAGAAATCAAATATTTTTTCATTAGGTTTTCAAAAGGACGATTGCAAAAATGAGCACCTCTATCACTTATGATGGATCTGAGAATTTGAAATAGGGAAAAAATATTTTCTTTTAAAAATTTAATCATTGTGCACTGAGCATTATTTCAGTATGAAATTGCTTCAACCCATTTGGACACATAATCGACAACCACCAAGCTATATAGATAATCAAAGAAAGGGGAGCATGGTCCCATGAAATTGATGCCCCAATATTCAAAAATGTTAATTACCAGTATGGGGTACAGGGACATCATGTTTCTTTTAGAAATAATCTCCAATCTTTGGCATCTATCACATGCTAGACAAAAGGCATGAACATCCTTGAAAAGTGAGGACCAATAAAATTCACACTGCAAGATTTTTACAGCGGTTTTCTTTAACGAAAAATTTTCACCACATGCTTTAGAAAGAGAAAAAAAATTACTTGTTTGATCTCATGATTGGGTACACAAAGTCTTATGATTTGATCCTTACAGTATTTAAACACGTATGAGTCCTCTCAAAAGAAATTATGCACTTATCTTAAAAAAAAAATTTATCCATCATGGTAAGAGAAGAGGAGAGTGTGTCAGTGGCTTGGAAGTTAGCACTATCAGCATACTATGGTAACTCCAAGAACGTGAATAGTTGATCATCTAAAAAATTCTCATTAATTGGTAACATGTCCTTATGGAATTCATATGTTAGCCTTGATAGTAGAATTTTTAGACAGCAACCGACCACCGTCCCATCACAAGATGTGATTTCCTTTTATCGTCCTCTTACACTACTCATCAACAACTCTTCTGCCTTTCACCTATATCCACTGCCTACCATCTCTGGGAACCACTACTCACAAGTGTATTCCTCTATCTATACCTCCATTCTTTGCAATCGTCAACTTCTTGTAATCTAGCCAACTATCAAGCTTTTACCTCTATTTCAACAACCCAACCTCTCCACAATCATTTTCTAACAAAATCATAGAACCAGGATTTGACTGAATTGGGGAATCATAGAATCAAATTGCGAATAGAGTATAGGTCGAAACCCAAACTTGTGCAAACAATCCAAATTTGGGCTTGACTGAATTGGGTAATAGAGTGTATTGGTCGATCTAAATTTGAGAAATTTGGGAGTGCATTGGCTGATCTAAGTTGGAGAAATTTGGGAGTTGAGCCAGAATAATTCGTAGGTCGAGCACCCGCTCTCATATGCGCTCACCATGCCACACCCACTCTCTCTGATGCACTCAGCACGCTACACCCTCTCTCTTTGATGTACTCAGATACACACACTCATACTGTCACGCACACACACACACATACACTGGCATGCACACACACACCCCCACACCAAATTGAGTTTGATTTCATCAAATTTATGCTTTATTTGATTTGCACAAATTGGTTTATGCTTTATCAGTTTATTTTGTTAGTCCGATTTGCACAAACTTTTTCT